TCACTATCTACACGTGCCTTATTGACTAAATGCGGTTAAATCAATTTGAATGATATTCGATTTGTAGATATGTCCGGTAAGTTTTTTAATATGAGTAATATATGAGAATTAAATTTGAGAACTTTCTGTTGAAGTTACGTCAGAGTTGACAAACATTCATTAGCCGATATTTGTGTCGTATTTTAATAGTTGAAAACATTTCATATAATACCGTATAAATCTGCTTGGATTTTTTAAAAAGAAATTTAATTAGTACAAAAAATAATATTAACGAAATATTTTAACTAGAGAGAAGCATTAATTAATATATTTGATGGAAAACGGGCCGGTGTTTCGTTTGATTCTACAAATTTTTATTCTGGTAGAAATATTATCTCTTTAAATTTATCAATTCAATATAATTAAATATTATTAGCTTATAATAAATTTTATTTCGATTTAAATATTAAACAACGTCAAATTTGAACAGCATAAAAGAATAACCCCTCAAAAGTTCACCACCGATTTGGAGACTGCGCTGGACCAACTGCCAAGCCAAGGCAATCATTTCTTCTGGCTCGATTTCATCGACACAATCAACACAAACCGGAAAGGTTTCGACTTGAAGGCTCTCTTAAAAACTGAAAAGTTTCGTTACAACATAGGTGTGTACAGCAAAGTTGAAAACCTCACAATCTTCCTCACTCAGTCCAACATCAACTGTTCGAAGGCCAATCTTGATAGACTGGTCATGAAACACACAGTCGATAAGGAATTCTATAAAAAAGCATACGGTCATCTCATTAATTTCTTCTACAGCGGCATCGTCGTCAACAACTGCGACATGACTTGCTCCATAATCAGCTTCCTGACATCCATCATCAACGATGCCAACTTGTACGTCAGTCTATGCAGCAACCGGAGGCCACTTTTTCGCCTCTTTCATACGGACAAGAAAAATAAAACTCAAAAAAGTCCAGACAGAAAAACTACTTTTCAGCCGTATATTATCAAAGCCATCAACATGATATATAATCTCATTAAGTTTCTCAACTATGGCTGCATACATCTCGTCTTCGTACCAGAGAATGATGGCGACACGGTGAGACAAGATCCTGGTTTTAATTGAGATGTTTGTGTTGTGCGCGTGGCGTACCATCACGTGTATCAGTTCGTGTGTAGCAGTAAACAAACAAATTAATTAATTAATAAATTTGATTTGAGAAAATGAAAAACAAATACAATAATAACCCGACAGATTGCTCGCTACTATCGATATATGTTTTACAACTGGCTCTTTCCTTGCGTACTAACCGAAACATTCGACTACCTTGACGACGTGATGATGAGAAAGACACGCACAGCAGACGCGTACAAACGCGGACCCACACTCTACCTCCTAATGATGAGGTTTGAAAGAGCAGTGCAATATCTGGAGATCTATGGAGACAAAAACTTCTTCTATAAGAAGGTTCCGATCATTTTCACATCCACTTACAGACCGACAGAAGATGGAATCAAACGATTTCCTATCTTAAAGAAATTGGTTGACATATTTTTTCTCTAAGATATTTTGTATACCGCTTTAATTGTACATTTTAAAATACTATTAATTAATTAATTAATTAAACATAAAATAATTTCTAAACAATTATTTATTGTAAAAATTTAAAGAATTTTAAATTTAGAGTAACATTAAATTTTATGCTTAATTTTAAAGAAAAGAGCTATAATAATATCTGTTCGGGATAATATGGCCTACAGAGATCCAGCTTTAAAATTTTCAAAAAACAAAACTGAAAGTATTGAAACGACGGACCTCAGTCATACCAATATCAGCAGAAATAGTACGCATAATGAATCTGCAGGCAAACTTAAAAGCAGTATAAGCGTTAGCGACTATATCTACAACAGCAGCGAGATTTTAGGTAAAGATAGAGTTAGAAAAGTTAGGCATGCACTCACAAACATTTTTACCATTACAACAAACCCAACTGTTATTGCCACCACGAATACCATCACCGATGAAGCAAATAATAAAACGACGGTTCATTTAAAAAAATTCGCTTTTAATTTTACATCTCTGAGCTACCGTAAGCCAACTTCGTTTATTTTCAAGCCTAAAAGCGCATCAAACCCAGTGAAGGAAGAGTTGCGTGCATTTTTGTTCGACGCAGCCAAGGACCGCACCGAAGTAATTTGGGGTTATTCAAATTTTAAAATTTCACTACCGGATCCAAGAATGCCCAAGTTAAACGGCTCCATAGAAATGCACTTTATGATCAAACCGAAGCATAAACGATTTAAACACAAATACATTTTATTTCAACGATTCTGGATGTATGGCAACCAGATAGTTGATATAATGAACGTCGACAAGGAGCGTCTGATGAAAATGTGGAATGAATATAGCAGAGGAGGTAAAGACCGCTGCGGTCTTCGCGGTCAACTATGCACGAAACATGTGTTTGGAGTCTGGCAATTTTTTCAGCTGATCATATATGCATTTTTGCTCGGCGGTGCCATAATTATAGGCTACTTCGTCTATAACGTTTTCAACTATAGACGTCTGAGGAGCAACTTAGGACAATGGAATATCAAATACACCGGCAAAAAAATGTCAGGGTCGTGGTCGTTTGTAAGAAAGTCTGACGTTTCTCTCGTCTCCACGCCACTGCGTACAACTCAATTTAACGTTAAAAAACTAAAGTCAATCAATCACTCGAGAAATGCACAGGACGAAGAATTGGAATTTAGATATGTAAACAACAGTAGCGAAAGTGGAAGCAATGATGAGGCTGAAGCTTATGTTGACACTCATACAAATAGCATGGAAAATAATTTTCACGATGAATTCTCAAAAACTACCAACTTAAAGATGTGTTTATCGGAGTATAACGAGCCAACAGTAGCAGATATAAGGCAAAATCTTGAAAACTTTGAAGAAATGCCTCATATAAACACTTACTATGAAATGTTCACTAAATTAGATCACTATGCTATTCACGTTACAAAGTTATTCCATTCCAAATTTTCCAATCTATCTTCAGCATGCAATATAACTGTCAACATGCAGCAATGCCCAAGCAATGAAAACCTCAATCACACCGCACCATACAATGCAGATGACAATGCCGTTAATATGAACATGAATAGGGCTAGCCGTTCACAAGTAAATTATTTCATAGAACCTAGTAAAAAAGACTATCTAAAAGGCAAGTTTGACTATATAACTTCTGATAACTTTCGAAATCCAGTCCGGAAATCAAAAAGTAGAAAAAAGGTTGCCTTTTATCAAGAGGATGAAATATTCCTGAAAAAAATTCAAAACATCAACATCTTGTGGAAGGCATTTAATGTTAAATTTTTAGAAGATATGGCTTTGCTGAAGAGCTTAAATCACGAAAATTTACTGCCTTTCATTGGCATCTGTCTCAAGAAAAATTCTGTCCTAACGTTGGCGGCCAAACGTGGCAGTCTTCGCGACATAATTATGGATAAATGCTTGAGCCAGGTATTTTTTTAACAACGAGTTATAAATATCCAATGAATAAACTTAACGCTTTTATATTTTTATTGGATGCAAAACAAATTCAAAGGTTTTGAGCAAAAACAATTTGATTCACAGAAAATTTAAATTATGTAAACACATGTTAACTATTAATTGATTGAAAGCAAAATTAACCAAATAGGTTTTCAACCTGGGTCTCATGATTTCTCTGTTGATTGACGTAGCGAAAGGGATGGATTACCTACACAACAGCGACATCGGGTCGCACGGCCACCTACGAAGCAGCAAGTGTGTCGTTGATTCTCGCTGGCACTGCAAGATAACAGGCTACGGATTGTCGGAACTTCGTCGTCGTCACAATGTACAATCACCGAAAGTTAAAGGAAATTCAATGTTATACATTGCTCCTGAACTACTGAGAACTTCCATACATTACAGAAATTATTACGGAACACGCAAGGGAGATATTTATTCGTTTGGAATTATTTTACAAGAAGTCATTATTATGGACAGGCCTTACGCTCTGGAAGTAAAGAAGAAAGTCAAACTGGCCACAATTCTAGCTAATGTAATACTTAAAAAATTTTATTCTTCACCTTTCAATTTATGATAAATTGGTAAAATTTTGTAACGAATTTCGTAAAACTTATTCATCCCGTACGTAAAAACAAAAATGAAATATTTTATGCAATAATACAATATTCAAATTTAAGCCTTTCTAGAAAAATGTTTGTCGATCAACTTTTGCAGGTCAGGTCCAAAATATTAGAAGTTCCATACCGGCCAAGTTTAGGAGAGAAATGCCCAAGAGAATGGAGAATGCTAGCGCACATATGCTGGAACGAAGAGCCGGAGAGGAGGTTTTCGTTTCAGCAGATATTAACAATATTGAGAAAGTTAGCGGGAACTGATAATTTAACCTTCGTGGAACGCCTGTCACAAAGGCTTGAGCAGAATGTTTCTAATTTAGGCATCATGGTTACAGATTTGACGGCTCATCTCGAAGTCGAAAGTGAAAAAGCGAGCAATCTCCTGGGCTGTCTGCTGCCTAAAGCAGTGGCGGATGATTATATTTTAGGAAAAGCTTATCAACCAAAAATTTTCAAAAGTGTAACAATATTGTGCACTGACATCATGGGATTCACAAAAGTTTGTTTTATAATAATTAATCAGCCGTAGTTGGTGCGTTTAATTTTGTTTGTCAATTTTTAAATAATAATTATTTAAAATAATATTTATTTTAATTAATGTTTTAAGATATCGGCTAAAAGTACAGCCAGGCAAACTGTTGACTTCTTGAATGCACTTTACAGTTCGTATGATGCCATTGTAAAAACTAGAGACGCATACAAAGTAAAAAATAAAAATTATTTGATTTGAAGCAATTCAGAACATTTTCATTTAATTTTTAACATTTATTATTCTAACAAAACATTGAAATAAACAACCACCGCAGTTAGAAACGATTGGCGACGCCTACATCGTCATCAGTGGCTGCCCAGAAAAAAACGGCGACCAGCACGCTTCAGAAATCGCTGGAGTGGCTTTGGATCTGTTTGAAGTTTTAAAAACGCACACCATACCTCATCTGCCAGATGAAACTATAAAATCCAGAGGAGGAATCCACTCTGGCCCTATCATTGCAGGAGTTGTTGGACTGAAGGTTAGCACTTTTTATTCATACGATAAATTAACAGAACGACTATTTTTATTTTTCTAAATATTGTCAAGACAAAATAATTAAATAACCATAAATTACAGGTTCCAAGATTTTGTGTTTTCGGCAAGACATACGACATTGCCGAATTGATGGAGAGTTCCAGCAAGGCCAACATGATTCGAATCAGCTCGACTTCTGTTAATTTGTTGCCCAATGCAAAGTTCAAACTGTCATCTATGGAAAATATTTTGATGCCTGATAAAAAATCTTCTATAGAAACTTATTTTTTGTTGGGGAAGACCTAGAAATTATTGTAATTATATTCCTTCGACAGTTTTTTACGACATTGCCTTGAAAGTGTATTATTAACTTGATTGAATTTGCAAAATATTAATGATCAGTATTTATCTAGCGCAGTTAAGCGTTACTTAAGTGGATCTGTTATACAAACAATATATATATATATATATATATGTATATATATATATATATATACATATACAAATATATATATATATATATATATATATTTACACACGTGTTTATCCCACAAATATGTGCATTTATACGCATATATACGAAATATGCCGGATATTTTTTGTTCTATATATAACATATTGACTCTATGATGATTGGTTTAAAAAATTACAATCTTACATACTACATAATATATAATGAAATCAAAATGTCGTCATTGTTTTATTCATGGATATTATATAGGTTATCCATGATGGTTTTATTACATATTTATATAGTACATATTATTCGTATTCAATAAATAATCATTAAATAAATCCTTTGTAAAAAAAATTTTCATAAAAAATAAAAATCACAATAAATTAATAATTAAAACTTCAAACTGAAAAAATTACAGTAAAATAAATAATAAATCATCTGATCAATAACGATATTTAGTGTTTTCTAATGTTTTTTAATTGACCAAGAAGGCCGACAAAACATGCGTATATTGATGATAGTACTTCAGCAATGTCTACCTGCTAGCTCTCCTACGCTCGGCTTCATCTTCATTTAAAGCCAGCACGTTTTTTAAATTATTTCTTAAATAAAAAATGTCTAAAAAAAATTCTCTACTCAATCCCTTGGTCTTCTCCTACCAGCAGTCGATCAGCTGCGATAGTGGCAGGCTGAAAAAGCAGTACAAAATCGATCTATTTCAGAGTCTCGGGGTTCAATCTCAGGACAAAACTCTTTATAGAAAAAATTTGAAAGGCCATTTTGGTTGCGTTAATGCCATTGAGTTCTCAAAAAATGGTGGACAGTTTATAGCTTCAGGTAATTAAAGTGTAGTGACAAAGTATTTTTTTATTCTATGAAATTATTTCATTTATCTATTAAATTTATTCTATCGCTTCGATATAAATTATAAAATATAAATGATGAACGTTTATTTTTCAATATGAAGGTACTGCGTAATTAGTTAATTTTCTTTAATTAAAAATATTGAAGTATGTGATAATTTTATTATTTGTGTACCTCGTAACTATTACAATAACAAGTTGTAGTAAAATTTGACTACTTTATCTATCTACTTTTATTTTTTTTTACTGCTACATCCTAATTTTCTAGTTTCTGTTTCATGTCGGATAATTTTTTTAATTAAAATAATTCTCATATATCACATTTAATATTAAGATTTAATTATTGCATACCTGAAAAACATTCTTCTTTCTTGTGCCTTATCCTTTCAGGACATTTGCGACCATCGACCTCCACAAAACCGATCTTTAACACTTTGTAGTAGTTGAAATGTGGTGAACTAATAAACATACTTTTCACTAATTTTATATTTTTTTTCTTCTAAATTTCATTAACTCAAAACTTTTCAAAATTCCAATTTGACAAGGTGGGGATGATAGGAGAGTTCTTCTCTGGGATGTTGAAAAATCCCTCAACAATGTATCCAGACCCGTCGCAATGAGAGAACAACATCACAGTAACATCTTCTGTCTTGAGTTTGACAATGAAAATAAAAAGATCATTTCTGGAGGTTAATGATGGCAATGTTTTTTTTTTTGGTTGATATCTAATCGAATCAAATTATTTTTATTTAATCAAACCAAACAAAAAGTATGACTGATTCGGAGACCAAAAAAAAAAAATTTATTCTTATAGATTCAGTCACAGTGTAACTTCAAATAACTTTTCAATGATATTGTGTGTATAATATATGTATGTACTATAAGTTTTAGATTAGTAAATTTTTAAGTAATTTCAGTAAGTTATTCAGTAGAATTAGTAAATTATTTAGTAAATTATTAAAAAACTCAAAAAATGTTTTAATTTATCGTTTTAAGGGCTTCTCAAATTAAATTCGTTGTAAAAAAATAATTTAAAACCTAAAATGTTTTCATTTTATATCATTTCAATTTAATTATTTCATTAACTACAGGAAATGATCAGCTTGTAATTGCCCATGACATAGAGAGGTTTGTATGACTGTGTTGTCATCATCAGATTATAAATTATCATCATCTTTATTATTATTATTATCATCATCTTTATTAATATTATATAGTCATCAGCACGCATTCAATCATCATTTAGTTATTTTCTTATATAAATCATCTAATATTTCCATATTTTTATGAGTTCGTCTTGATAATTCGTTGATTTATCTTTGCTGTTATTTAAATATATTCTATTGACTATTTCCAGTTCGTATATCAGCTGTTATCTTAATAAATCATCACTATGTTTGTTATCAGATCATTGTCCTATAATCATCACTGTTATCATTTTTATTTTTATCTTTCACTTGTCATTGGGCACCATCATAAGCATCTGAATCATCATTTTTATCATCTCTACAATCATCGTTGTCAAAACGTATCATCATCTTAACATTATAGCAAACATAATTCATCATCCTCATCATCACAACCATCATTGTTATTACATTGCATCAAAGCCTATTTCATTTTGACATCATCGTAATTATATCATCATCATCATCATCTTAACTCCATTACTTCATCACCATTATCATCTTGACATTTTCACCATTATATCATTAATCATCATCATCACAACCATCATCGTCATTACGTCATCGTTGTTATCACCATGACGTCATCATCAGTGGTAGAAATTTGGACGTGTTCTTCCACGAGGATGCGGTGTACTGCCTGGCTGTAGACCCCAACAATTCCATGGTCTTTGGTAGCGCCTGCGACGATGGACGGATACTCATCTACGACATCAGACAACCTGCTAGTGAAGGTTGGATAGATGGATGGATGGTATTGGTAGATAGATGGATGGATTGAGAGATGGATAGATTGATGGATTGAGAGATGGATAGAGAGAACGATGGATGGATAGATAGATGAATGGATTGATAGATGATTGGATAGATAGATGGATGGATTGTTAGATGGATGAGACGCAAGTTGACAAAATGTGAGGAGAGAATTGAGCAAAATTTGTTTCTGAGGTTAAGTCAGTGAAGCGAAGAAATGGTATAGTATAATGACTGTATTTTGCCATTTGGAGACAAACGTAATATTGAATAGTGGAAAATGTAAATTTATCAAACGAAACCTTTTTAGAAATAAAAATAAAATATTTATTTTTAACATGCTAAAAATATCTTTAAGGAAAATCAATTATTCTTAAAAATGTAAACCAAAAGACAACAAACTCATCTACCAATCTGACACAGATCCATTTGTGCTGGCCACAAGTCCCGATCCCATGCATTCCCTCTGCTTCAATCCGGTCGATCCCAGATTCATCGTCACTGCAAATTCCGGGGAGGGTACTCAACTCTGGGATATCCGGGTGCCAAGGAAGTGAGGATTTTTTTTTATTTGTTCATTCATTTTTTTTTCAGTATAATTGTGGTTTAATTTTATTTGATTTGATATTTGATTTTATTGATTTTTTTTATTTAGGCTTTTGTTGTTTTGTCATATTTATTTGTGTGGTTATTATTAAAAAATGATGATGTTCACAATATCAGCAATGATGATGTAGGATGAGAACAGTAAGGGGATATTTATGATACTAATCACTACTGATTATAACTAGAATCTATAATAACTACAATTACTTTTTTAACTCTCTCTACATTTAACTCTATCCTTATAACTTTTTATAATTATAATTGGTACTCTCTCTCTCTTTCTCTCTTTTTTTGTTTTCTCTCTTTCTCTTTCTGTAACTATCTCTCTCTTTCCATCAAACAACACAAAACAGACCACTGCACAAATATGGAAGCCGCCACTTGCATAGCGGCCACAGAACCAGCATGAGTGTCTGCTTCAATCGACTGGGCACACACCTCATGGCCCTGAGGCGACAGAGGGGTCCAGTTGTGTTTGATGTGGCCGACAGTCTTCCACCTGTCCAGTTCGAGGGGGATGGATATAGAAATTTCTGCACTATGAAGAGTTGTACATTTGCTGGCGAGAATGATGAGGTAGGTTGGCTGGCTGGTTAGTTGGTCGGTTGGCTGGGTGTGATTGATTATGTAACCTGATAAATTTACTTTTTGATCGATTCACTGGGCCAGGCTATTGATTTTGTTGAATGCTTTGTAATCTAGTTAATATCTCGTTAATTGCTTATGTTGTTGACTGATTTTCAGTACGTCATCTCTGGGTCTGATGACTTCAAGTTGTACATGTGGAAAATACCAACAGACGAAAAAAGTAAGGGTATTTGTGTTTTGTTGTTGCTTTTGTTTGTATTTTGTTTGTTTTTGTGGTATGTTTTTATTTTGTTCATTTCTATTGTATATGTTTATATTTATTTTGTATGTTTTGTTGTATATGCATATTTGTTAGGTAGCACTGTTATATCCATTCATTCATCATAAAAGACTTTGGATGTCTGTTAGCTGCTTATTTTTTTCATCAACTCAATGCAATTCTCATTTTCCCTCAAAACAGTTGAAAAAGTGACACAGACGCACTGTACCTTGGAAGGTCATAGGTCAATAGTTAACCAGGTCAGGTACAACCCCCAATCATGCCTCATCATCTCTTCTGGGGTTGAGAAGATTGTTAAGGTTAGAGGTAATTTTCCAATCCCACTTCTCTTTTGATTTTGATTTATTACCATAGGTAATTGTAACAAAGTACTGTTAAATATCATAATAACAACATAATGCATACACCTCAAAAACACAAAACAAAACTCAACAGGTCTGGAGCCCGCTGCCAATTGGCGACCTAAAGAGCGACGAATGCAAGGCTGAAATCCCGCGTGCCAAGTTCACGACCCTGCAGTACATTGGCCTCGTCATGTCGGACGGTAACCTGGACGGCGACATATCCAACGCGCTGCTCGTCACGCACAACTACAACGATCGATCGACGGAGGAAGATTCCAGGATGCTGGCTTTCTTCGACTCGCTGGTCGATAGGGAGAGAACTAGCGCTCTCATCGAAAGTGACGTGGATGATGACGATGACGACGACGAGGAGAATAACAACAGCAGTGTGATGGAGACGAGAAGGAGATGGAGGATGAGAAATGCGGGTGGAAATGTTGACAATGCTTATGGCTTGGGTGATGATCATTTCCTCAGTGCGGAGAACGACGATGTGTCAGTTCTCTTGAGTATTCTTCAGTTCATTTTTTTTGCTCAATATTTCTAATGACTCATCGTGTTTTTTCTCAGTTAACTTTTTTAATGATTGAGTTTGAGTGTAACGTTGAAATGCTCTCACGAATGAATTTAAAAATCACGTTTAGATTCCGATACTTGAATCTGTCTGAACTGGAGGAAGAGGCAAGCAATAGTGAAGATGCATATGACGATGACGACGACGATGACGTCACAAACATCGCTGGCGATCCTGATAATGATGACGATGATCGCCTCGTAAACTCATCCAGGTCAAGGAGAAGAAATGAAGACGTCAACATCTTTCCTAGAATGGTCACTTCTGTGGCCACACCTGCCGCCACAGATGATAGCAGTACTAGCAGCAGCAGCAGCAGTAGTTGTACCAGTAGCAGCAGCAGCAGTAGTAGTGTAGACACCAGTAGTTTGAATTCCGGTAGCAGTAGTAATACTGATGGGAGAAAAGGAGAGTTAACGTTCAATCAAAAACGTGAGAAAATTTATAGCAGTGATGATGACGACGACGAAGATGATGATGATGACCGCAGAATGGACCTGGATAGTACGTCAGGCAAAAAGAACAGACTCAGCAACAGATTCGTTAATATTGATGATGACGAAGACGACGATGAAGATGATAACAAAGAAAAGGAAGATGATGATGAAAATGTTGACAATGAATTTAAAAGTTTCCTCAGGAACAGAAAGCGGAAGTTGTCCTCATCATCCTCTTCCTCACCATTGCCTCCTCCGACTCCACTCTCTTTCACAAATGCGCTAGCTACAGCCAGCAACGACATTAATAAATCCATACTGAGTAAAAGCCGCACCTACAATCTGTCAGACTCGTCGTCGTTGTCATCACCGATGACCAGCAAGAATGCCGAGGACCCTGATGATGATGGTGAAGATGATGATGTTGGTGACAGGAGCAGACCAAATGATGCTAAGAAAATGTCAGTCTCCCGTTTAAAATTATCACCTAAGTTCAGTCGAAGAAAAAAATTTGAATTTGAAGCAAGTCGATCGTCGTCGAGCAGGTCTGCCATTGCTACAACTCCAACCACGCCTCGCTCCAGCCGCGCCAACCAATCGCAGTCGTTGATCGTTTCACTGCCAAGGCTTATGTCTGATTCGAGCAATGATGATTGCTGTGCTAATTGTAACGATGCCTCCACGCACAATGGTGCCAGTTGTAAAGGGAACGATCACAGTTACAATGCTTCTCTTAATGGACGTGATAGAAAGGGTGAGGATGAAAGTGAATCATCCACCAGNTCTAAAAACAAAGCCACACTGAGCAAGAACAGCAATACTGCCAGCATACACGGGGCTACTATTTCAAGTATCAGTCTTTACAATGGAAACAACAGCAGCAGCAGTAGCAGCCACGCCAAACTGAACAACCGCACGCAAAGTAACCTCACCACATCAATCAGTAACTGCAACGACGACAGTAGTTTGAATAGCAAAAATATTTCCAACAACAACTTGAAGAATGAAGTAGGTCCGAGCAGCTCCGACAGATTGATTTCTGAAGAGCAGCCTGTGGAAAACTTCAACAGGAAGAACTTCCACAGTCGTAAAAGGAGGTACAGACATCAGGCTGGAAGAAAAAACAAGTCCAAAAACAGTTTTGGTACCGATGATGACGATGGTAACGATGATGATGATGGCAACTGCGATGATGATGACGATGGCGTCAGAAGAAGAGGTTTTAGGTGTCACAATGGAGATCAAACATGCGGCAGTAATGCTGCGAATGTGAAGCGAAGAAAGTTTGAACCTCAGGTCAGTGAGGAGAACGACGACGATGACGATGATGACCACTACCACCGCGAATTAAAATCTATTTTTAAAATTAACTACAATGATGGTGCCGATAACGATAAACGCCTCTATAAAACATCTAAACCGACCTGCACAACATACAACGGCAAAACAACCGCCAGACATGGCTGCCACCAGAACAAACGCAGTGGTAGCGGCGACAGAAACTACAACGCTGATTCTTGCAATAGTAGTCTTCCCGATAAGAATGGTATTATTAATAATAAATCGACCGTGAATAGCAACATTGACAGCACTAATGATGATAACAATTATGAAGAGAAGCCGACGGAACTCATGAACCACCTGATGCAAGCTAGCTACGTTGATGACGGCCACGAGAATGTACATAAAACAACGGGGAGAGATCACGATGACGATGATGATGCAGATGAAGAGGTGATGGAGGACGCCACACGACACACCAACGTCACTTCGCTGCTACCACAGTTAACAGCCGCATCAACCACACCAACTCCACACACGTTGTTACCTCAGTCAACTGAATCATTCTCGTACAGTTACTGCAGAGATTTTCACCATGAACCGTGATGACGACGACGTGCAAACGATGCAGAAGTTCATTATGTCATAAGCAACGAACATTGTGGTCAAATATTAAGCTAAATCGATAAGTGGGAGCGTGTCGTTTTGTTTTTGAGTTTCCCATAATTTTTTTCACATGCATTTAATTGTATGAATCTGAGCACGCAATGTACTTCTTTTTGTATATTACATACCTATGTACATTTGTTTATACGTCTGTATGCAGTGTGGTGTATATGCATATGCAACACGTGGGTGATAGCTCGTTGCCGACTCTACCAGAGAACTTGAAGTCGTTTGCTTACTCGTTTGTTTGTACAATGTACAGTACGGTGCATACATGCATGCATACGTATTATACACATGTGTGGTATGTGTATAATTGATGAAAAGCGTTAACACTATTATATGAATGTGCGCGTGTGCGTGTTTGAGCGAGTGAGCTGTTTCCAAGAAACGCAAGCCCTCAAATGTGATTTTCGGTTCATTATAATTCTCACTGTCGTCGTCCACAATTTTGTGGTTCCTGTGGACAATTAACTATATAATACATTCA